ATTTATTTATTTATTCATTTATTAGTTTATTTTGTTTTTAGTTTTATTTTTTGTGTGCTTTGTAAAATATTAAAGAAAGTGTACTTGTTTGTAATATTGAAGGAGATGTGTTCTGAGGACCGATGAAAATGATTGTTTTTTTTTTTATGAGAATGTCATTGTTTTTATGTGAATGTTATAATGTGTTCAATAAAAAAAAACTGCCACCGGAAGTGACAGCCGCCTAGCTGCTACTGGGTGCCAGAGGGTGCCATCATAGAAATATTCATTTCTATGGATGCCACTGCCACAAATTGAGCCTGATGTTTCTCTATTTTATTTTTCAAGTAGACCTCTGCAGAAACTCTGCAGAAATCTTGAAATTATTTTTGATCAGGCACTGCGACGGTCAGCTGTTCCGTGGAAACGTGTGTTGAAAACCCCGTAGCTCCTCTCCGAAGCCCTCTTCTTACGATCCGCCATTAGGAGTGAAGTGGTGGTGAGTTTTTCTCTTTGCTTTTTAACAGATTTTATTGAAAATAATCACACTTCGTGTCAGTTTTCAGTGTGAGCGAAGTTTAAAGGATTGTCTTCTTTATGTGCAGGTGGACTAAACCCCAGAATGCAGATTTTTGTTAAAACGCTCACGGGGAAAACTATAACCCTCGAGGTAACTGATGTGGTGTGCTACTTAGCTGCCAACCCGAACTTTATTCATATTACGTTTTAATTAGTACAGAAATATTAAAATATAACTTTTGTTCTGCTCATTTATATAAATTTAAACGTGCTGTTTGTTCCGTGACAAAACGGAGTAACGTAGTTGCTAATTCAGACACCACTGCACGTGTATCAGCAGGCGGCACCATAACTCACCTCAGACTAATCACATTTATCGTATTGTTAAATATTGGTTCGTTCTCACCAGTTATTCCGTTTTACAGGTTGAGCCCTCAGATACCATTGAAAATGTCAAGGCTAAGATCCAGGACAAAGAGGGTGAGTTTATGTTTTAACAGATTTTTATGAAGTAAGGGTGTTTGAGGGTATTAGGTGCAAAAATGCACACAGAAAAGGAGGGGCAAAATTTTTGTTTTTACCTGGCAACACTGATGCTGGTCTTACTCATTCACTGATTATGCAGTGGCTGCATAACAGCTGTATAACAGTTTACTGTCAGTGCAACCCTGCCTGGTACATTTCTACAGTGGTTTCATGTAAACAGGTTTTTATAATGTGTTTATTTGCCCCAATAAACAGAAAAAACACCAGCATATTCATTGACTGGTTTTGTGTAAACAGGGCCTAAAAGTTTTACTCAGCTGTTGTTGGCATGCCTCAATAAATTAGGGATGCACCAACATCGATATCCGAATATAGTTATTGCTGTTATGGCCAATAATCGATATTACACAAGCACACAAATTATATTATACATATAGGCACAAACATACTTGTTTGTCTGTTTTGATACTGTAAATAAACAACTATACCTGACATGGCTCTACTTCAGTTATTCCTGGTTACATAGCATCCATAACACTATCATGATCAAACAGATGCTGCTCAACCAACCATCTCGCCTCCCAAAACAGAAACACAAAGATAAAAAGTGGGAAATCAAAATATTGTACATTAATATCGACCCAGTTTTAAATATCGGGCCGATTCAAATGTTCTAAGAAATGACCAATATCGGCCGATATTGATATAAATGCCGATATATCGTGCATCCCTAAATAAAATGACAAATTTTGTTAAACCCGTGCAATCACAACCACCTAATAAGCTGTTAACACTTATTAAAGAAATTATTAAAAGCAAGACAGTTTTTTGTAAAGTGCAGCTGTTGCTCAAGTGTCAGTTTGTGGTAAAATGTTGAACATCAGAACAGATTCACCCTGACCTTTTTTGTTTGTCAGTGACTAGGACCAATTTAAGCTAAAAGCCTGAATTTTTTTTTTGTTTGTTTTCTGTTTGACATAATATTTTGTTTGCAGGAATCCCTCCTGATCAGCAGAGGTTGATCTTTGCTGGAAAACAGCTGGAAGATGGACGCACGCTGTCTGACTACAATATTCAGAAGGTCAAGCCTGTTTGTTTTTGATGTTTTAAACATGAATTTTGTGAGATGAGTTAATGTCGCTGCAGCTCATTTCCCTTTGGTAGAATTATGGATGTCCCGATACCACTTTTTCACTTCCGATACAATACCGATATTACAACTTTGAGAAATGTCCGATACCGATATTGATCCGTTACCATAACAGTACAAGTCACACACTTTTACCTATTTTGTAATGTAAAATCTTAAACTACATTTGTTGCCACGGCTTCAAATACAACCCCTGGCAAAAAAGTATGGAATCAGCTGTCTTGGATGAGCACTCATTCAGACATTTCATTCTGTAAAACAAACTCAGATCAAAAACATGATACAATAATAAGGTCATTCCAAAGGTCAACTTGTTGGCTTTCAGGAACACTCAAAGAAAGGAAGAGAAAACATTGTGGAAGCCAGTGAAATGTTACTTTTATTGACCAAGTACAAGGAAGAAAAGTATGGAATCACTCAATTCTGAGGAAAAAGGTATGGAATCACTCAATTCTGAGGAAAAAATATGGAATCACTCAATTCTGAGGAAAAAGGTATGGAATCATGAAAAACAGACAAACAAAAGACCATTCAAAATACATCACTAGTATTTAGTTGCACCACCTTTGGCTTTTAGTCTTGCAGTCTCTGAGGCATGGACTTGATGAGTGACAAACAATATTCTTCATCATTTTGGTGCCAACTCTGATAGCAGTTGCCAGATCAGCTTTGCAGGTCGGAGCCTTCTCGTGGACCATTTTGTTCAATTTCCACCACAGGTTTTCAATTGGGTTGAGATCTGGACTATTTGCAGGCCATGACATCAACTGAATGTGTGTCTTTCTCCAAGGAATGCCTTCACTGTTTTTGCCCTATGGAACGATGCATTGTCATCTTGGAAAATTATTTCATCACCTCCAAACATCTGTTCAATTGAAGGGATAAGAAAACTGTCAAATGTCAATGTAAACTTGTGCACTGATAGAAGAATAGCTGGGTTTCAGTCACTTGGTTTCGAAGGCGGAGCGATCTCCGCTGGAGGGCAGGGGGTAAAATATCTATGGAGGAAACTACTGTAGAGTTTATATTGTATGGATTTAGATCCTATTTCAAGATATATAACAATTTGTTCACAAATATGTCAGACATGACTCGTATGATGAAGATGAATGAGTTTTCTACAGAACCTAAAGATTTTCTGAGGCTGTCGATACCACACACGTCTTACATCACCAGGTGTCAAATAATAACCAGCAAAAGTTTATCTGATGAATAATTCCATACAATTCTGCCCAACCCTATTACAACATATGATAACACTGATTATCATACACAAAGATGAAAAATGTAGAAAGCTCACAGAACGAAAACGTAAAAAGTGGATTTTATACCGTCTGCGGTCGAGAGGAACAGGATGCTGTCTGTCTGCAGGCAGCGGCCACTACATCAGAGGTATGTTAGCTGCTAATTTGTTTTAGAGGTTATTTTTATAATGATCGTTTCTTTAGTAGTGAGTAAGTTACTGGTAGTTTATTGTGGACCTCATCTGGACTTTAGGCTGCCTTAGTTCTGTGTCGTTAGCTGCTGGATGTTTGTTGATGTTAGCCACTACTGCTAGCATTATCTTAACAAATAAAACTATCATAAAAAACACTCACCCTGGCAACAAACAAACTGTAGTCATCGTGGAGCTGTTTGGTACCGAGGTTGTGGATCCACCCGCTGAAAAGTTCTACACCTCCTGTTGTTTACGTGCTTTCATCAGCTGTTCGGTGTAGTTAGCATCCAATTAGCACCGCACTGGCCCGGTAGACAGGTAACGGGACCGTAGAGTTCGCTCCGTGCTTCTTCTCTTCCCTCTTTATAATCGAAACAGTGAATCACCTACTTCCTCATCACAGTCCTCACTCTGTCTCCGACTGTTTTTCCTCTATTTGAGCTCCTCTCTCAAACTGCGGCTCGGTCCACTTCGGCAGCTGAACTGGAGCTCCAACTTTGTCTCATTTTTTATTTATTTTTTTGCATCAAATACACTAAAATAACTAACTAAACTTCACTGTAACTATGAAATATAGTTATACAAATATAATAAATGTAATAAATTTCGGATATCTCATTGCTGACTTCCGATCTCGCTGTCTCTCCATCGCAGCCGAACTTTATTCAACTTACGCCTCTTTTTATTTTTATCCTGCTGTAGATTTTTTGCTGCTTGTCTAATATTTTCATGCTTCAGTCAGAAAGGAGTTTGGGGGTTTAGGTTTGTTCAGCGGGGTGGGGGTGAGACCAGAGGGTGGAATGAGATGTTTTCCCCCATGAATCGGCCCTATTTTGCATTCTCCTGCTGCAATGTGCTTCAAATATGATGAACATTAATAAAAAGAGCCATAATTTAATTTAATATATAATTTAATCAGTGTATAATTATTTATTATTAATTCAGTTAGAATGTTTGGTGCACTCGTAAACTATACAAGATATGGGCATTTTTTCAGATGGCAGATTCTCCTCCACTTTTTCACTTCCTGACCTCCATCCGAACTTCGCGCTCTAGTAGCACTGCATCGTGACGTCACGTGAAACCCTCCCATTAACCACAGTCATCTCCCCAGTGCCTTTGCCTGACATGCAGCCCCATACCATCAAGGACTGTGGAAATTTGGTTGTTTTCTTCAGGCAGTCCTCTTCATAAATCTCACTGGAACGGCACCAAACAAAACTCCAGCATCATCACCTTGTCCAATGCAGATGCTTGACTCATCACTGAAGATAACTTTCATCCAGTCATCCACAGTCCATGATTGCCACTCCTTAGCCCATTGCAGTCTTGTTCTTTTATGTTTAGGTGTCAATGATGATTTTCTTTTAGCTTTCCTGTATTGATATCCCATTTCCTTTAGGCGATTTCTTACAGTTCGGTCACATACATTGGCTCCATTTTCCTCCCCATTTATGCTTCATCTGTTTAATTGTACTTTATCGGTTTTCAAGACGAGTGGCCTTAAGTTGTTTGTCTTGATGCTTTGATGTCTTTCTTCGTCTACCAGTACGCTTTGATTTAACAACCATTCCATGCTGTTGGTATTTGGTCCATATTTTGGATACAGCTGACTGTGAACAGCCCACATCTTTAGCAACCATGCATGAAGAGTTACCTTCTTCAAGAATGTTCACAATCCTCTTTTGTTTCAAGAGACATTTCTCTTGTTGGAGCCATGGTTCTTGCCACTGCACTTCATCCAGCAACCCGCCAAGGTGTCATGACTGCAGGTGTTTTTAACTGCAGACTAACGAGCAGATCTAATCTGAGGCAGGTGTCCATTTAGGGAAAGGAAATTGACTGGGTGTGTCCTTATTTTCTACCTCCAATTTGAGTGATTCCATTTTTTTTCCCTGTGCTTGGTCAATAAAAGTAACATTCACTGACTTCCTCAATGTTTTCTCTTCATTTCTTTGTGTTCCTGAAAGCCAACAAGTTGCACTTTGGAATGACCTTATTATTGTATCATGTTTTTGATCTGAGTTTGTTTTACAGAATGAAATGTCTGAATGAGTGCTCATCCAAGACTGGTGGTTCCATACTTTTTGCCAGGGGTTGTATTTGAAGCTGTGGCAGTAGGATCAAATGCCTCCATTTCCTCTTGGCTTTTACCCTATTCCCACTAAAAATGTCCGGACGCAGCTCGAACTTATCAAATTCATAGAAGCCTACAGTAAGAATAAGACAAACATGCAACAAAGGGAATTCAGCAGCTGATAACTACATGCCCCAGGGCATGTACTGCCATCAGTGTGTGAATGTGTGTGTGCATGAAGTGTAAAGCGCCTTGGGGTCCACATGGACTTGATAAAGCGCTATATATATATATATATATATATATATATATATATATAAGTTCAAGCCATTTACCATTTATCTAAAGCCATTTTAAATATGAGCTGTGCAACCAGCCCACAATCTGAGAGACGCCTTGATGTGTTTCTGATTTTCTTACAGTAGATTATTTTCTTTAAATAAGTTCTTGCTTTACTGAGAAAGGTGGGTGGCTATTTTTTAATTTGTGGGGGGAGACTGATGGCAGATTATAATATTTAATTTATTTCAGCCACCTTTAAATGTGACAAGGATTTTCAAACAAAGTGTTGTAAAATTACTTTGAATACCTCTGGTTTTCAGGGGTCCCATGGGCCCTTGAAATCCTTGAAAGTTTGTGAATTAAAAAATGATTTTAAGGTCCTGGAAAGTTTGTGAAAACAGCCAAAAATTACACTTGTCCTTGAAAGTCCTTGAATGCTTTTTGGGGATTTGAAGTTCTCTTATTCACACGACTGATTTTCACCCTCCATATTAAATTTTTTTTTGCGTGGGTAACTCAGGATTACGGTAAACTGATGTGGCTTTTAACAAATAACGTGAGCCATAGTCATAGTTAAACCTAATCAGAGCAGAGGAGGGCAGGTCTTTCTTTCTGAGCCCAGGTGAGAGCACCACAGGTCCTCCTGTCGTCACCGAGCGTCTGGACATGTTCACATCCCCTCCTCCTAAACTGAGCTGCTGAACCTCCCAGGACATAATTATATGTCCATGTAATGTAGATATGAATGTAGGATAAACATTTAATCCACCTTCTTTCATTGATTCTGACTCAACAACTTCTGTGTTGTTCAGTTCATTGAATTTACATGTTAAACCTGTTAATTGGTAACATTCTGTGGTAGCAGTAGGTAATTGCTGTCATGTGTGGTTCTTGAATTTGAGGAAATTGGTACTGGAAAGTTCTTAAAAGGTCCTTGAATTAGATGTCGACCAAGGTGTGGGAACCCTGGGTTTTGTTCGACCTGTCAGCATGATTCAAAACTGGTCAGTAATTTAAAATCTGTTTTATTGACGCAAATTGAAATTATCAAGTGTCTAACCTGAAAAGCTTAAAGTTTTCCCACAACTTTGCGACTTCTTTGCATGTCTGTCCGCCCTGGCTAATCACGCTGGTTTCCAGGTTCGGTTTTGGTAAAACCTTTAAAATTGTCGGTTAGCACAGCATCTGTTCTTGGTCTGCTGCCATACTTCCTCTTAAAACCAAATGCCTGCGTCATTCCTCAGTTCGGTACAGTTCTTTCCCTTAAGCCCAAATGCCTTTGTCACTGCTGACTCGTAATCCTTTGTTTGGAAACTTTCGGAACACAACATCAGTGCTCTGATCAGCCTTACTCTCTTCTCCTGAATGTTTTTTTGAGTTTGGTGAAATAATGGATGCAAACTTCTTTTTTGTTTATCAGATTTGGCTAGATATGCAATATGAAAAAATAGTGGGTGTAGGGCTTCAAAAGATTTAAAATTTTAAAAGTTTTTTACCATTTAAATATTCAGGTCTGTAAACTTGTTTCTTATTTTCAGGAGTCAACTCTCCACTTGGTACTGAGGCTGCGAGGAGGTGCCAAGAAAAGGAAGAAGAAGTCCTACACCACCCCGAAAAAGAACAAGCACAAGAGGAAGAAGGTTAAACTTGCTGTGCTCAAATATTACAAGGTACAAGAAATGAGACTTTGTGCTTCAGGGAGACAGATTTTTACCTCTGACTCAAGAGCAGCAGGTTGACCTCTTTGTGTCTGCAGGTGGATGAGAATGGTAAAATCCACCGTCTGAGGCGTGAGTGTCCTGCTGACGAGTGTGGTGCTGGTGTCTTCATGGCAAGCCACTTTGACCGTCACTACTGCGGGAAGTGCTGCCTGACCTACTGCTTCAACAAACCTGAGGACAAGTAGACTGAAGACTACAATAAAGATTCAAATGTCTGATCCAACAAGGACTAAGAGTTTTTATTTCTACAGCAGTGCAATGTTTGTTTTTGTTTTATTTTTTAAATTTAGTCATGTTGCTGGAGTAGCACTGTTTTCAAATGTTAAGATAAAGTGAAGTTCAATGAACAGTAAAAATGGCAGAAAGTGAATTTTCGGAACGTTTCAACTTTACCTGTTTAAAAAGTTTATCAGGGTAGTTTATACAACACCTAGAAAAAATTTAAAGAACCATTATTTAATTTCATATGCAAATGTGGAAATTTACCCTTAAAGTTCAAATGGGAAGTTAAGGTTAAAATACTTCTTAGTTCTGTGAAAAGTGGGTGTAATATACATTGCCTGTTATTTTGACATGATCCTTTAATGCTGACTGCATAAATATATTTTCTTGAAAAACTGCTCATTTTGAGATGAATCAAAGGCTTATTTTTGTATAAAAGGGGTATTTATCAGAAATCAGTACTAAAGGTAACATGTTAAAGACTTGAGGAACATCATTGGTCAGTGTGTCAATTTCCCACTCTGTCAATGGTTATTTTCCCCTCCGTTGTAAACAACCCCATAATAGATGATTTGCAAATAAAAATTCATATCCTTTGCCATGGTGTTTAAAAAATGAGCTGAGTGCATTTGTTACCTTGGGTTATTCTAAAAAAAGTTTCTATAACTTAATTAGAATCTACATTTTGGAAAAATCTGATTTGAAAGAAGCTCAGCTGTCTCTAATAAGGTCCTGTAGTTCACCTTAGTATTGGTCAAATGTGGGTTATTAAAAAAGGTGAATTACTTGATGGGTTTAAACTCTGGTGACACCTTGTGGTCAAAATTAGTTTGTAACAAAACATTTTATATTGGGGGGGGGG